AAAACGTCCCCCCCCGCCCCCAGCTGCCTGTCCTCCCCCTGAGGCAGCCGCCTCCGGATCTTTGCGTGGGGCGCGGTGGCAGAGCAGGCAAAGACACATGCTGGCAGGGATCGGTCCGAGAAGAGCCCGGAGCAGCCTCGCCACTGACATTTGGGAACACAAAGACTTTTTTATGGGAAAAAAACCCAACGGGAATGAAAAAATAGATCACATATTTGTACTTATCTTGGAGGCTGGGAAAGGCCAGAGATAGAGCTGACTGTTCCAGACATCAAAGAGGCCCCCTGCTTTCTCCCAGCCCTCTCCCTGCTGTACCTCCACCCCGGCAGAGTTCCCAGGAATGGAGGAGCTGCCCCAGAAGAACATCTGAAAACATCCACTACAGACTCAAATGGTCAGAGAAAACCCCAAAACCTTTCTCCCTGCCCCTTCACGCCCTGGTGAGCTGGTGGCGCGTCTGGAAATCCATCTCCCTCCTCACCGCCCAGCTCCAGGGATGTGTCCGGCTCCACTCCCCTCCTCGCACGCACCCACCAGCACAGACCCCAACGCGGGGCTGCCTGACAGTCACCAAGCTAACGCGCCTTGGGTTAAACCCAGGCAGTTGGCAACAGCAACCAGCAGAGCTTGTCTCCAGCATGGGCAGAGAGGCCCTGAAAAGTCTGTATCAAGCACCACGCCAGGCCCGGTGAGCTCAGGTCATTGTCCCCCATGGAAGTGACAGGGCCCCGAGTGGTGACAGCAACAGCAGACAGGAACAGCAGCAGATGAAAGGAGGGCGTTTGGGAATTGGGATTTTCTTTCGGAGACTAACCAGCTTCTTGGCTTCGAAGGCATCTCGCTCGTCTCGAAGTTTCTTGTTCATCTCTCTGCTCCGGAGGAAGATACCGGGGAGACACAATGAAGCACACATCAAAAACGGAGTCAAGACCCACATTTGAAAGCTAAAACAGAAAGGGAGCTTGGGGCACAGAGGTTATTTCTTGCCAGACATGTGGGGATTTCCATGTGTCCCAGCTCAGGTTGTGGGCTCCCCTTAAGCCAGCAGGAAAGACTAAATCCCTCCAGTGGAAGGATGAGACGGTGAAATAACAGCCAGTACTCTGCCAGAGCTGGGCAGCTTCTGCAACTGTCTGGGCTTAGAAAAACAAGCGGTGCCCGAGCACTGCTCGAACACACTCCCCGAGCTTTCTGGGGCAGGAAGGAGCACAGAGCTGAAACCTGACGTGCAACAAGAGCGCTTCTCCCCAGCCCTGTCCTCACCTGAGGAGCTCCAGCTGCCGGAGGAGGCTTTGCTTCTCTTTCTGCATGTTCTTCGAGACTCTGAAACTGTCTGGGCTTAGAAAAACAAGCGGTGCCCGAGCACTGCTCGAACACACTCCCCGAGCTTTCTGGGGCAGGAAGGAGCACAGAGCTGAAACCTGACGTGCAACAAGAGCGCTTCTCCCCAGCCCTGTCCTCACCTGAGGAGCTCCAGCTGCCGGAGGAGGCTTTGCTTCTCTTTCTGCATGTTCTTCGAGACTCTGAACACATCCCTGGGTGAAAGGGATTTTCAAGAAGGAAGTAAGTTAATGGGAAAATAAATAGAAAGAACCCTTTACCGGGGACACTCGCAGCGTTCTCACAGGTAAGGGCTGATTCCGAGGAAGCAGCAGTGCCACGAGAGCTGAGTGTAGCCCAGCTCTCCTGCTCTCCTCCGACAGGAGGGCAGGCACCCCGCTTTCTCCTTTCACACTCCAGCTTCCCCAGCTGCTAGAGATGGGAAGCATGCTCCCTGCCACAACCCAGTGTTTTAGCTACGTCTTATTCGATTAAGCCCGGACACAGGAACACAAGTGATTAGAAAAGAATTTGTGGGAACTTCATAGAGGCAATGCTGAACTTGAAAATACATGGAGAATTCGCCTCCTGAGGAACAGCTCTATTTTTTACACTGCTTCTCTGGCCAGCTTTCAATGAACAATTCATTTCCCACTACAGGCAGGCAGAAGGTAGCAGTATCTCCCCCTGTTTAGGCCCATAAGACCACTGAGATGTTGCTCCTTTCCCTCGAGGAGAGAGAGGCAACCCTTCTAAGGCTTCTAATTAGAAATCCCTACTCTTCAACTACTTCCTTCTCTGCCGGGGGCCCTGCCCTGACACCCACTTCCCTGCCCATTCTCACCTGTCCTTCTGCTCCTGCTCAAGCTGAGCTTCTTTCTGCAGCTTCTGTAATTGCCCCTTCACTGCCTCCAGCTCCCATTTGCTTTTCTCCAGCTCTTCCAGCAAGTTTTCATTCAGGTGCCGGAGCCTTTCGTTCTGCACCCGCGTCTCCAGCTGCTCCGAGTTCAGCGCCTGCAGCTGATGTTCCAGCTGAGATGGGAGAGGAGGAGGAGGACGAGGGGTTAAACACAGAGGGGAAAAGTTTTGTGCTACAATCATACTTGTAAAAAAAGCTTTGTCTGGAGACCTCCAGTCCTTTGGATTTCGGGGAAAATTTGAGCATGACGATTTAAAACCAGCAAATCCTGCCCACGGGCTTCAGATTTTTCAGTAAAGCCAGGGGACAGGCTTTAAGTAAAGCCCAGCTGGCCCTGCGTGAGGAATCTCTGCCACTCACAACTCGCCCTTTCACACTGCGTGGAAGCAACGCCATAGGACCTGCGATGACAATTCTGGTCTGCCACCACAAGAGGGACCTGATTATCCACAGATTACAAGCCTCGGAGTTAAGAGTGTCACAAACAGCCCCTGGAGTAGGAGGAACTGTCGGTGTAGGCCAGCTTGGTCCACAGGAAGAGGAGATGCTGCCTAGAGAGAGCGTGTTTGCACATCTAACGGCTCGTTCCTCTCTTACGCCTCCAGTTTCTATGGTGTGTGTGTGTGTATATAAAGCTCACGTGTATTCCCTCAGTCTCCTCTGCTCCAAAATCAAGTCTGAGCCTCCCTAGTTCCTCTTCCTAAGGCAGATGCTCCATTTCCTTCATCAGATGTGTTCTGTTCCTTCGTACTCAAGAAGGACACTGGAGCTGGAGTTGACCAGAACTGTACACACCATCGAGGCACAACAAGGGTGTGGGCAGCAGGGAAATGATGTCCTCTATCTTATTCTTAATATCCTTCCTCGAGGCACCTGTTTTGCTGGCTCTTTGGAGTTGACCAGAACTGTACACACCATCCAGGACATCATTTCCTCTATCTCATTCTTAATTTCCTTCCTCGAGGCACCTGTTTTGCTGGCTCTTCTTCACGCCAAAAAGGAAACAAGAAATTCAGGATGGACTATCCCTAAAAATGTCCATGCCAGGGCCGGCGGGCTAAAGGGAAGTTTCTGCTTTGATCTTTCGTGGTGGGCTAAAGGGAAGTTTCTGCTTTGATCTTTCCTGTGAGCAATTAATCAGCACATCGTTAGGTGCTGAAATGCAAATATACAGCATGTACAGCTCTAAGCGTCACAGAACCGTTTGCTCTGGGTTATTCTGGAGCAGCCAGAAAACATAAACTAGAGAAAATTGGCTCTTGCCTCGCCAAGGCTTCAGCTCACAACTTCCCAATTTTCACCCCAACTTCTTTGCCAAATAGTTATTGTACCACTGCTAGGAAGATTGTGCTGGGAGGAAAACAAAGCAGATAAGAAAATGCACGGATAAAGGATTTGCAGACTCACAACGTTGAGGGTTGGAAGGGACCTCTGGAGATTATCTAGTCCAACCTCCCTACCAGAGCAGGGTCACCTCGAGCAGGCTGCGCAGGACAGTGTCCAGGTGGATTTTGAATGTCTCCAGAGCAGGAGACTCCGCACCCTCTCTGGGCAGCCTGGGCCAGGGCTCCAGAACCCTCACAGTAAAGAAGCTCCTCCTCATGTTTAGATGGAACTTGTCCTGTTCAAGTTTGAGCCTGTTACCTCTTGTCCTGTCACAGGGCACACCAAAAATAAACTGTCCCCCTCCTCCCGACACTCACCCTTTCAGACTGAAAAGCCCCAAGACCCTCAGCCTTTCCTCGTAAGAGAGATGTTCCAGTCCCCCAATCATCTTTGTAGCCCTTTGCTGTACCCTCCCCAGCAGTTCCCTGTCCTTCTTGAACTGGGGAGCCCAGAACTGGACCCAGCACTCTAGATGCAGCCTCACCAGGACAGAGCAGAGGGGGAAGAGGACTTCCCTCGACCTGCTGGCCACTCTCTTCTTGATGCACCCCAGGAAGCCGTTGGCCTTCTTGGCCACGAGGGCCCATTGCTGGCTCATGGCCATCCTGCTGCCCACCAGGAAGACATTACACTTGAAGACAAACCAACCACGTGACAAACCACTTCGACACCTTCAGAGGCAGGAGAGAACTAGCCTAGCTAGTACCAGAAGAGGTAGTGCCAACCTTCCGCAATAAAAACCATTCTCAGTCAGAAAAGGCCTTAGCAAAGAGACAGCAGAAGGGGACATGTGGTTCTTTACAAAGGACTTGGGTCCCGTTACCTTCTTCTGGCGGTAGAGGATCTTCTCCAGCTCCTGCTCTTTGCTGCGCAGCTCCCTCTGGAGCAGGTTACTCCTGTCATGCCTCAGCGCTTCCTGCCAAGGTAAAGACAGATGGTAAGAGCTGTTGCTTGGCCAGATGAGCCACCACCTCTGCGTCAGAGCAGAGAAAGTCTGACTTCAGCCAAGGGCCATGAAGTACCTGGCAGATCAGCCTCTCCCTTTCTGCTTTGATCTGTTGTTCCATTTCTTCATAAAGGCACCTGACCTCTCGGTCGTGGTCTGTCTCCTTCCTGCGAAAGGCAGGGTGCACACAGGTCAGGAGAGAGAAAGAGAACACACAGAGGGAACGGGAGGGGAGAGAGGGAGAAGATTCCTGCTAACGGTTGTTGGCCCAGAGGGGGATTTTAACCGACCCAAATGTTATGGGCGCGCACTGATGCAAAACAAACCCAAACCAGAGTGTCAAGAAGAACGTCTGTGTGCTGTAGCACAGGTTCTCCTTGCAGCCCAGGCAGCACCCAAGCAGCAGCTGGTCCCTGACAGCAACTGGCCGCGGCGTTCTTGCTTACCGCTTCAGCGCCTGTTCCATGGACTCCTTCTCGTGATTCACCTCCCTCATGTAGGACGAAACACGCAACAGAAACTCTTCAAAATTGGATAACAGCTCCGGACGCTCCTTTCGGAGCCGAGCCCAGAACTCTCGAATCTCCCGCGGACTGGAGTGAGCACAGAAGAGAGAAGAGAAACAAATAAATTTCTGTGTCATGTTACAGGCTGTTATCCCGAAAGACAAACTGCCTATGTATTTGGCTCCCTGATTATTCTTTGTGAAAAACAAATAAAACCTAAACAGAAAGCTCTTGATTCCCCCTGTCACCATTGCTCCTCCTTCTGTCCCAAGTTGAAAAAGTTACCAGCACTTTATCAAAACTTCATCTTTTAGATAAAAGAACGTATGGAGTCCTGTTAAGAAACAAAACCATTTCTTTCTAGCAAAACCAGATAGCTGCTCTGACCCAGGTAGCTTCTGTTTTATGTTACTTCTTTGCAAGAGCTGGCTTGGCACAAAGGCATGACATGAAGTAGCTACCAGACTCCTTGCATAAAACCACAAGGAAGTGGTCAAAATAAAACACAGGATAATTCTACTTGAAGGCTTGATGCTTCTCAAAGCAGAGTTAGAAACAGCACGGTCTGGTTTTCCAGAACAGCAGTGTGGCCTTTCACATTATCTGAGGCATAACAGCTTTCCAGAATTTTTCAGGACAGGTGCTTTGCGTCACAGACGAGACCCAAAAATATCCGTTTTGTGACAGCTGAAGCTCTGTAAGGAGCAAATTCCTTCATTCCCAGCTTTTGTCTCCCATCCTGTCCACCTCTGGCCCCTAACCTGCCTGCTCCCTGCAAATCAGCAACACTTTGGACGATGATGCCTGGAAAGAAAAAAAAAGGGCTGCTACGGATGCAGCTGAGCACCCCAGCCCTAGCAGACACGCGCCAGTAAGAACCAGTTAGGCTTCACTTGGGAAGGCCCTAAAAAAAGGCTGGATGTCACTGGGGGCCAGCAGACTCTACCGGGGCCACATGCAAGAGCATTAATATCGAGTCGCAAGGCTCGGCTGAGCAGCCCTCGGCCAGTTCAGCCTTTCGCGCTCTCCAAGCTCAGCTCAGTCCCGAGCAGCCCCTTGAGCACAGATTCTTTCACAGAGGCTCTTCGAGAAGTTTGTCTGAACAAATGGGAACGGTCTCAGGTCGTTTTGGAACGCGCTCATCCTGTTTACCTTGTCTAACCCTCACAAGCTTCTTTTATTTGCTGCACACAGATGAGCTTCCAAGCCATGACTGTTACATTTTACAGCTGTGGCGTGAACTCTTGGAGTTTGGGAAACTGCGAAAAGCACCGTGCTGAAAGGAATTGATGAGAAAACAGGGACTTCGCTGCATTTCCTACTAAGCATATGAAAACCCAAGAGAGCAGGACAGAAAGCCCAAGCAGTGCTTCTGAGAGCAAGCAGCTCAGTTCACCTCTTTTTGGCCTTTTCTGGTATTCTGAGGGGATTTTTTGGCATCGAAACAGGGTGGAAGTAACGCCCCGCAACTCCCCTACTTACTCTTCAAACATCTGGGCTGCTCCGAGCTGCTCCATCATGGAACAGAATCGTTTCTCTTCATCATCATCTGCCGGATCCAAATCATCTGACCAACCTGACTCAAAGGTCTCCTCGTGCCTGGAGTGATCCATTCTCCCAGCCCCTTGACACAATTCAATCCCTATTAACTTCTCTGGTAAGGGAAGAAAAGAAATAAAGAAAATCAAACTGGATGTCGGTTAATAAGCTGGAGTTTCAATGACAGAGCTCCATGAGAAGCTGCCTGCAGGCTGCTGGTGTAGAATAGAGCTCTCGGTCAGTAAAGAGCCTCCGTTCTGACACCCCAAGTGATGTCAGCGTCCAGTCCGCAATGCTGGGACTGGCTCCCAGCCCACCAACAGGCTGTTAGGGCTCTGCTCCCAGAATCACAGAATGTTCAGGGTTGGAAGGGAACCACTCGAAAGATCATCCAGTCCAACCCCCCTGCCAGAGCAGCATCACCCAGAGTAGGTCGCAGAGCACACATCTGCCTGAAGATGACCCCACCACCCACGGCCTTGGATGCTCCCGGCATTAGGTCACTTCACTCCCGTGGAGCAGCAGCACAGGTTCAGTCACCAGTGGTCCCTTTGGACTGAACAACGCTGTGCCTCTGTTTCCCAGCAAGGCGGAGATCCTTACCCTTCCCCTCCTCATGTGCTACAAGGGCTGGTTAAGTTCTGATTCAAGTGCCAGGGGATGAGAACCACCTCTTGCTAGGATTGAGAACAAAACGAACCCACTGCCAGAGCACCTCCTGTGGAAGGACGGCTTCCAGCTATCTGGAAGAGACACTAATGCCACGAGAATATCACGCTGTGCAAAAGAACGTGATAAACAGCGGTGCCGGGAACGAATTCTTCTCAGAGAAATGGATCGAGTGATCCTACCCAAAACACAGGCCCCCGTCCTGTATACAGAGGTCAGGCTTCCAGCGGCAGCTACTCTTCCTTTCCAAAACACAGCCGCTTGCTTTGCAAGGCAGAAATGACATCCCAACCACACGGCCGGGAGCCAAGGATGTCCAGAGCACAGATGAGAACACAAAGCTGCCCTAAGGGGAAAAATATCCACTATTTGTGTACCTCGAATGACTTAACTCCACCGCTTCTTAGCTCCACAATCTAGCCCTGCCCCTCCCACGCTTAGAACGTGCTGTAAAAACACTCACAGTGGGGAGATACAGGCCCTGCTCAGCTTAAAGCCTCAGGCTCAGACAGTTTATTAAGGAGATGGGCTCAGATTAGGCACTTTGGATGTCTGCTTTAAAGAAAGAGTCATTATGTCTCATTATCCCTCTTTTACCGCTGGGAAGAGTGAGGTAGAGAATGATCCAGAGACTGTTTTGACATCCTAGAAGGATCTCAGATTGCTTTCAAGTGAACAATCTAAATGTACACTCTTTTTTCACCCTGCAATCTCTCAGCAGCTACGCAAGGAGCCCTCTCAGTAAGCAGCTTTCCCTGCAAAAGGCAGAAAGAGGCACCGGCAGCAGCTACTCAGGGGGTTAACACATCCCCTGAACAGGCTGGCCCAAGACACAGCTTCTATTTCAAGGAAATCTTCATAGCTTCTCCTTTCAGGGGTGGCTGTTGCTTGCCCTTCAGACCGAAGCACTGAAAAAGAACATCCCCTCCAAGTTGTGAGAAAGCCACGAGCAGCCACAACCTGAGCAATCGGGACACTGCAGTTCACTTCCAAACCCCCAGACTGCCGGTTTTCACTTGCTGTGACCTGGCCCAATGAACACCTCTCCATGCCCAAGGAAGGTGCCGACACAGCCCAAGTTTTCTGAGAATTTACAACCAGCAGAGGTGCCCCAGTCCTTCCTCCTCCCAAACACCTCTTGCCCTGCGTAACTGGTAGAGCTTCAGCGGAACCGCTGCACTTTCTTCCTGACCAACACGAGAAATCACATCACGGCAGGCTTTTTCCTTCCTCTGCCTCTGCGCAGCCCTTACCCAGTCCCATGCTGAACTCCACCGGCGTCAGGTACCCGTTGTTGTTCTGCTCCAAGCTGTCGAAAACAGTCTCCAGCTGCTCGAGGGTTAGGGGCAGTTCGCTCTGGAGCCGCTGCAAAGACAAAAGAACGAACAAAATGAAGGCGCGAGCCAAGTCCTCCCCACAACCAGCTCCTGTCGCAGCCATCTTCAGCTCCGGCCCACAGCGACGGGGACACGGCAGGTGCCAGCTCCATCTCTTTGGTCGAGAGAGAAAAGACAGACTTGGGGGTGTCTGGATTCAGTTCCCAGCTCTTGCAGGAAATCTCGCAGATCAGAAATAAAAAGCTCAGACCATAACTGTCAGCTTTCTTCCATCACCTGTTGGGATTTTACCGTTATTCCCATGACGCAGACAAGAAGCAGAGAGATTTTCTTTCATACCACCCGAGCAGAGCCCTCCAAAAAGCTTCCAAATAGCAAGAGGTGTAGGCTAAAACCAAATAGCAAGAGGTGTAGGCTAAAACATCGTTACTGCCCATTAAATGGCCAGATTTAGGTAAAATCTTAATAAATATTTATTAATATAACCACACATCACCAGGCATGGCACAACCCAAACCAAAGTGAGTCAATAATTAAACCAGCCCGGACTTGCCAAGTGTTGATTATAGCCAGAGGGAGAGATGGGACAGGAGAAAAACAATCCCCATGTAACCTTCCTGATAAACCTAAAGCAAAACCCACACAGAAATAGTCTTTCTGTTAACAAAGTATTTTAAACAGAAAGCAGCAAACCACATTCTTCCAGAGCATAGGTCAGGCCTAAAATAAGCTTTTGAGATCAGGCTTTAGCTACGATTGAGACAAAAGAATTATAGAGCTTTTTTTGTTAAGAGGCTGGGGGAGTTTTTGTTGTCGGCTGTGCGTTTTGGGGCTGGGGGGGGTTGTTTCTTTTTAATCCAACCAAAGATCTTTCTCCCACCCGCCGCATGCTTAACGTTTGTAGGAACCGTGCAAATTTTTTGGTTTTATGCATTCCTCACAAGGTTGGAATTGCAGTCCCGCTTGTCCCAGGAATTCCCTGGAGGTCCAAGGCCCTCCTGGGATTTTCCGTTCCTAGCAGGCGGCTGCGGTGGAGTTTGGCTCCCAGAAATCTGAAAAAGACAGAGCCCACGCGCACGCCCCTGCCTGCCAAGGGTAAAGATGTGCCACATTCCCCCCTCTTCTGCTACCCAGGACTTTACAGCTCCTCCCAGGGACGGGTTTTTTCCCTCACCTGCATGTCCACCTTGGTGATAAAACCCTTCTCGTCCTTGTCACACAGCTGGAAGAGCTCCCTTGCCTTCTCGAGCATCTCCACCTGCACATCTTCCAGTTGGCTCATTTGGCTGGAAGGAGAAGCGCAAGGAGCCAGCCCATCCTCCTCATCCCCTTCCTCTTCTTCATCCCAGCGGACGCATCCCAAGAGCACTCCCCTCTGCTTCTCCATCTTCTTAACTGAAAAGTCTTTTCCCCCAGGGCAAACAGAAGAGCTGCGGGGCAGGAAACAGAGAAACCCCGGTCAAACACAACCCTCCACTCCCACCCCACCCATCATCTAGTGACGTGGTTCGAAAGAACACGGTTTAGCACCCGTGGCTGGGCTGGACGACCTTTAAAGGTCCTGCAACACGACCGCAAGAACCCAGAGCTGGACGAAGGCAGACAGGAGGAAAGAGCTGCGCGAGTGATGGAAGAACCATCTCTCCCAGGCCTCTCCTCCCACCCAGGTCCTTTGGCTGGATTTCCACCTCCGGCATTTTCTTGGTAACGTTTCCCAAACAGGAACTCCGTCTCCTTTGGTGTTATTACAGCACCAAGAAAGGTCAGGCGATTCCTGTGGTGGGACAAATTTAATAAGCTGGGCATTCCCACCCATCTTGCCTTCCAGCCTCTGTTTTGAGAGCTCATAAACTACCAAAGGGAATTTTAATCTGCAACGTTCACCTTCATAGGAAGGAAACCACACGACCACGGAGACATTGCAGAGGCCAAAGAAAATAATTCCCGTTGCTCAGAAGCACCGAAACCCAGGAGGCCAGGAACGAGAGCGTCCCTTTAAGCACAGCGCCGCAATCGGAAAGATGAGCACAACCTTCTGACTTACGGGTGCCACGTAAGGCCTTCCAGCCAGCTTCTCTTCAGCGACACCCCCGCGGGGCTTTTAAGCCCTGTTGCACTGATTGCTTCAAACTTCTTCTGCCGACCCGTGCTCTGCATCGCAGGGCAGGAGTGAGCTGTGCAAGCAGGCTGAGAGCAGATTTAAACAGCGCCGGGCAAAGAGGGCTCGAGGGTTGGTTTGGGGTTTGTGGTTTTTTTTTTAACCTCCAAGAAATTAAAAGCCGCGATAACAAACGAGTGAATTCTGTTTGCAGTCTTCGTACAATGGGAGGATAAAGAGCACGATGGCCAGGAAGAAACGTCACATGCAAGAACTATACGGAGCCGACACAAAGGGAGAAGGCAATTGCGTCGCACGCTATTTGACTCCATTTATTACTGCTGGTTCGGGAGCCAGAGGGTGGTTCTGCTTCAAAGAACAAGCGGAACGCTTCGCTCCCCCTTTCCAATCAGCGCTTTTTCAGGGCACCTCCGTTCAGTGTCACTTGAGGAGAAATATCAAGTTTGAAACTCTGCAGAAGGCCACCTGTAAACGGGTACTGTTAGATGGCTCTGGTCAAGAAGTCGTCCCTCGCAAGGAGCAGACACAGAGCTGGACCCAAGCTTTGGGGGATACTGCTGAAAGGAGGGAAAAAAAGCACAAAAAGCAAGACGGCAGAGGTATATTCCTCCCTTGTGTTCTTTCAGACAAACCCTCCCACCAGGCTTTTTTTGTGTTACGGACCCAATACAGCAAAATGTGGAGAGTAAAGGTTGATTCTGTCCATTAGCTGGACAGGCAGCTTGCTTCTGACGGCAGCCTGTACGTGCCAGTGGTGAAGAAGTCTGAAAGAACCCCAGCTTACTTCTCACATTCAAGTCAAGGCTGCAAAGCTGGCCTTGAAAGACAGACCAAAAGAAAAAAACCCAACAGCCAAATACGCTGTGTAGATTCTTACCAGTGATTTTGGTGAGGAATCACATCGCCACGCTGATGAATGACGATTATTGGCTGCTAGAGGCCACCTTGCCGAAGCTTTTTGCCAGATTCATTCCTTCTGCAAAGACACAGTCTCAGCACAAGCAGCCCCTGTACCAGATGGCGACTGCAGGCGGCGGCCAGGGAGGCACAAAATTGGGAGTTGAAAGCAAAAGCCACCACAGGATTGCAGAAAACAGCCAGGAGAAGAAAAAGTGCAAGTAAGAAATAGGGTTTTGGCAACAGCCAAAGGAGGTCCCCAGAAGCACAGAAGGATCTTACTTTCTTATCATCAGTTTTCTATTTCAAAAGCCAGAGCAGCCCACGCAGGTGATGTCTGCTCAGCTCGGCGGCAGCACACAAAAGCTTGCACGAGGAGGATGTTCTGTTCTCTCTCTGGGACCTACCTGCAAGCTGAAATTGGACCCATTACATCCCTACCTCTAGCATCTCCTCGTTTTACCAAAAGCCGAGCTGTACCGGAGCTCCCAAACACCAGCCGAGCTAAAAGCCTCTTCATTAGAAGCGCTGGGAGCTCGGCACGGACAAGAGTCTGAAAGGATTTCACTGCCGTGGGAAAGACCAAGCCCGTTCATGCAATGTTCAGAGCGCAGAGTCTCTCGTTCAAGTGACTTCAAGCCAGATGTGGCCCTTTCTGTGGCGAGACAGCACTTGTAGAGGAACCAAGCGGCAGATAAGAGAGCCCCAGCGAGCAAAACCCACTGCAGCTCTCCTGGACTTCTCTCCCAGAGGCCTCTGACTGAGAAGCTCTTTGTCTCCGTTCCCGTTTGTAAGGGCGTCGCGTGGTACAAATGCAGATGAGGCACAGAGCAGATCTAACAAGTGCTGTCGCACTCTCCCCAGCTACAGATCGTCACTCCTGGGGAAGCAGCTTCCACAGCGGAATATCACTGCAGGACAACGTTGGAAGAGGCTGAGATCACTAAAGCACTGAAACTGCCAACCAGTACCCAAAAGCGCGGGCAGCAGAGCTGGCGTGGGAGCAGGAAGATCAGCTTGGCAAGAGCCTGACACAAGCAGAGAAAGCAGAGGAGATGGGTACGGGCAGCCAACGCTTTTGGTCGGGCAAACCCACCAGGCTGCCCCAGGGAGACGTAGCCAAGCTGCCTCCAGTGTCAAAGCCAGGGGATTTGTTACCAACGCTTCCACACAGGATTAATATTTTCAGGTCTCTTCTGGCAGGACAAGGTAATCACTGAGTCAGCACCAGTTACGAATGAATTTCCACACCTAGCCCGGAGTCAGGACAATCTCTGTACCGTGGGCTCTTGGTTTCCATTGTAAGAACAACTGCGATGGGTCACAGGAGAGTTCACCCTGCCCAGCATCTCGCCCTCATCCACCTGGGGGTGATGAGGGAAGAGTAAGAGCAGGGCAAACACAGAGAAGGCGTCCCTGAAGGGCCAGCCCGGGTGAATCCCTGAGCCACGTGGTTCTTCCTCGTCTGCCAAGACATTTGTCCCCTCACTGCTCACCACACGGACAGAAATGAGGTGCCTGCTGCAATCAGTGGATGCTGACAAAGCTTCAGGGGGCTACTCCATTCTTCTGGGTACGTGGTTGGACCAGCATCCGCTCCCTGAGAGACCGAGTCACAGCTTCAGCTCAAATAGGTGTATCCTGACACCTTCACATCTGCAAACTGTGACAGAGACCTAAAACTCCTCTCCTGGGGCCTGGGAGATCCACCAGAAAGATGGAATTGCAGGGACACGGGGACACCACCGGGCTCCAATTGTCCTTGCCAGCCTTGGGGTGTGACTCTTCCCTACCCCAGGGGTTTGACTGCCAGTGCTCAAGGTCAGCTCTGATACTGCACAGACCAGATTTGGTCAGTGTCCGACATGGGAACAACCTCATCACGAGCTCAAGGCACAAGACAGCCTTCAGGACCTGTGGTTACACCACGTAATTTCCTGCCACGCTGTGTGCTGGGGTCCAGCAACCAAAAATTCACCTGCTCCTGCATGTTTGCTTTCCCCGAGCCTGGGAAGCAAATGGAGAGTTTCTCAGACTCACCAACACAACTGGAAATTCAACCGCCAGTAAACACAGCTAACACTAGGCCTTGTATTTCTACACAGGGGCAACTCAGATCAGTCTTTCATGCATATTTTAACTGCCTGAGGCATAAACTGCAGTCTTTCCTGCGTAAAAGCTGTGTCAGAGGGTCAGCAGGACCCTCACAGGCATTCTTGGGGGAAATGGTAAGATCTGAATCGTAATCCTGACTCACTTTGCCATATGGCCCTGGGTAAGTCACGTCACCTGCCTGCACTTATAGATTGTCAGCTCCTCCACACTGGTTCCGATGCTTGTGACAGCTGGCACTTTATTTTAAGTACTCAGTTCCTGGAGGCTGATAATTACATGTGAAACTCAAGCATCGAAATAATTTCAAAGCTTCAGTGCTGGAGAACGAAAAACTTGAGCGAACTGCAAATTTCAACAAACGGAAGGACACACCCAAGGTGCTTCTCCTGGAAAAGGAGACAGCTTTCAAGGCACCATTACAGGGTCAGAGTTTCCAATTTATTGTCTCCGAAATCTTCTTGTTGTATTAAAGAGGTAAAGAAAAGTCATGGCTAAAATGCCTTCAGCAGCCAGGCTTTTATCTCGGTGACCCTGACCACCATGGGCCCATGACATGGGGTTATTTTTTTCCACAGCCCGATGACAAGGAGGAAAGGAAAGTGAGGAGTGAGGTCAAATTTTCCACAGCTGGTCCTTAGATGACCTCAGCCACCACGGGGCACCGCACTTGCCCCGAATGCGCAGCATTCCTCACGATCCTGCCCCAGCGCAAGGCGACGAATCAACAGTTAACGAAGGAGGAAAAAACTAAGACCAACTGGCCAAGTGGCTTAGCCGGGGTTACCGAGCCAGGCCAGTGTCTGGGTCCTGCAGGGCTGTAAGGGAAAGCAGGTTTTTGCTCTCCTGTACCGCGGAATTTTTGGTAATGGTGGTGGTAGAAGGCAATATTACAGAAGGATCCTTATAGGTACAAGTGGCCAAGGCGTAACACAGTCTGAAGTGCTCGGCTGCTTGCTGGGAAGTTTCCCAAAAGGCCTCCTCCTCCATCTCTGCCCAAGACAACATTAACAGGAACAACAAAACCGCCCCCGTACTAACGCTACATTTCTAAGCCGTTTATTTAAACGGATCAGAAGAACACGCACCCTTTCCTTTCTGCTCCTGGTGCAGAAAAAGAGCCTCGCAGCTTGAAAAGAAGGAACAAGCGTGCGTGACCGCGGTCTGGATGGGACGGGTTTGAGCCCACGCAGGAGAAAACATGAGGCAGGGAGAAGGAGATGAAGGGCCGGGGTAAGGGATCCCCGCGGCAGAAGCCCATTGCTTCAGCAGATCACAGGGGCAGAGCAAAACCA